TTACAGTCAGAAATCTGTTTCCCCAAAGTAGCCTCTACAACATTTTCTTCTAATTTCACAATTGAGAACCCTGAATTTATAACAAACACTGTCATCTTAGCCTTCATCAAATTTAAATGGTACTGCAATGTTTCTGGTCACTAAACACACCTAATAAATTAAATATAATACAAAGATCTCATCCTTTTCATGCCTGATGAACATAGATGAAACTGCCTAAAGGTGTGACTTCACAAATATGAAAACAGATTCTACATAAATGAGTATGTCTTTGAATTAACAAATACTTATTGCATTCCTATCATGTGCTAAGATGACTTCTAAGTGCAAAAGATGCAGCAATGAACAATATATCATTTGTATGTGTGTGTGTGAATATATATATATATATATATATATATATATATATATGTATATATGTACACACACACACACACATATATATACATGTATCATTATATCAATAAGTAGTTGCGAATCTATAGGGATAGCAGACAAGAGCAAATAAAAACTAAGAAGAAATTAGCAATAATAATTCCAGGAACAGAGAAGATAGTTTCTGAATGGATAGCAGGATGTGCAGAGATGATGGAGGGACTGGATTACCTGGGTGGTCCAGGAAAACCTCCCAGGAATGTGGCATTTGAGTTGATTCTTGAATGACAACACTGCAGGAAAAGGAAATAAATTTTGGGCCTTTCTTTTTCCTTTTTTCTCTCTCCCTCCCTTCCTTTCTCTCTTTCTTCTTTCTTTCTTTCCTTCCTCCCTTCCTTTTCATTAATGATTTACAATAAACACTTTAACCATTCACAGCTACTCTTTATTTGAGGCTTTTTTATTTTTCAGTGTGTTTCTCACATGATTAATTCTATCAGCTCAAAAATCCTCCCACCAATCCAAATCCTGGAAAACCTTATTGCAACCTCTTCCATAACGAGATTTCATTTTGAGTAAAAACAAAGAGCAAATCATAAATATTGCTTTAAAATATAATCTTATACTTTCAGTTTTCTACCTTTTAGATGTCTTTCAAAAAGCCACCAGTGACTAAGTATACAAGTGAATAATATTATGATCTATTTTTATGTGCCTCATAATAATTCTGTGAGGTTGCTTACTACTTTTTACTCCCATTTTATGGAATAAGAAATTAAGGCAAAGGAAGATTATATAGTTTCCCCAACATTTATAGCTAATCAGTAAAGCACCTGAGATTAGAATGCTTGTTTTTACCATGATAGCACAGTCACATAGAGTCAACTAAATGAAGCATTTTTTTTTCTAATTTCACAAATTGAGAACCCTGAATTTATAACAATATTGTCATCTTAGCCTTTATCAAATTCAAATAGTATTGCAATGTTTCTGGTCACTAAACACACCTTGTAGACAATGGCCTTTTTCTTCTGGGTACTGTCTGAACAATGCCAGTAACAGCCACCAAGTAATTCACAATACCTTTATGAATGTCACATGGAACAAATATTCAGGCTCTCCTCAGTTGTGGATAAATAAATCCTGGTGTATTCAGAGTACAAAATAAGTTCCCATTTCTATAAGCATGTGGAAAATGTCATGCAACCAGTCAGCGTAACATCTTTTATTAATCCTAATTTGACCTTCAGTGATACCCACAGTAGCTTCTAAATTGTCAAAAAGAATATATTTGACAATTTTTCTGATATTATTCAACTACTCCAGTAACCCAAGTTATTAGTTCACAGGCTGCTTCTACATTTTAATAACTCCTGGAGCATTTCATTGTTTCCAAGATTCTGGTATCTCCCCTCCAATTCTCCAAAAACTCAAAAAAATCACAATGACTAAGATTTCAGCTAGAAGATCTTCAGAAGTTAACTGTCTTGAAACCAATGTGTATTGCTGTTTTCCCAAATGCCAACAGGGAAAGTTTGAATATTAGTCACCCAAACCAATATTTGAGAGTCTCATATTGCTCTTGATTCCTTCATATTCATCTCTAGTAATATATATGTCAGGAAACTCCTTTGTAATCTAGAGACATCTATGATGCCATTTGTCATACAAGGATGTATTCAGCAATGGGAATTACAGGTAAAACAGTCTCTGCTTAAATGTAGTTCCTCATTAGATATTCAAAAACACTGAGATGGAGGTAGAACAGATTTATAACACGTATGTAGTATTCAAATCATCTAATATATACACTAAAACTTTTGATCTTTAATCACAATTTCAACTAAAATTTATGGCAAGGTATATATAGTAAATGTTACTTTAGTTTCAAAAGATTACATATAAATAAAGTGTTCCCTAAGATTTCATAGAAGATTCTGCTTTGCTTGTATAAAATTTTATAATGGTATCATTTGATCACCTGACTTACCAAATATCTGGGTGACAAAAGTCATGTCTTAGTCATAATATCACATGCTTTTCTAAAAAAAAAAAAAAAGACTAATAAGAATAATTTTTTTCTAACTACAGATTCTAACACTCTGTTCCTCTAAAGATAGTTTTATTCTTTAATCTTTGATTTTTATAGGAACTTTTTCAGGTTTAATCTATAGTTTTCACATTGAAGAACCCAATAAAAGGAAATGTGTAACGAGCTCAGTTCTAAAGATATAAAGATTTATCCAAAGCACCAAACCAGTCAGAATTTTACACCATAAGGTGGGAAGGATTTTAAAAGTCTGAACTTAATGTCAAAGTGGCATACTACTGCTCATTCCTAGTAACTTTCCGCTACTTAAGCAATATCTTTTTAAAATTGGAAGGGAAGGCGGGGGCAACAAGGAAAGTCAAATTGAGAAAGATAATGACAATAGGGTCAGAACTGGTAAGCTATGAAAGCAGAGAGGCTTGGCAAGGCAGGTGAGGATGGAAAAGGACTTTAGCATGGGCATCAATGGATTAACTTTCATGGAGTTTTCAGAGTTGGAGCAGAGATTCATGGAGGCTTAAGATGTGAAGAAATAAATTGAAATACAGAGTTTTTATATTTATTTATTGGCAACTGGGAATTTAACCAAGGGTGCTTTACCAATGAGGTATATCTTCAATCCTTTTTTAATATTTTTTTTAAATTTTGATACAGGGTCTTGCTAAGTTGCTTAGGGCCTAAGTTGCTGAGGCTGGCCTCAAACTTGCAATCCTCCTGCCTCATCCTCCCGAGTTGATGGATTAATAGCAAGCATCACCATACCTGGGTAAAGATGTTTTTTTTTTTTTTTTAATTAATGAAAAGAGGAAATAACATGAGATTCTAGGGGAGAAACAAACAAACCACAAAATATAAATAAAACCAAGTTCAGGGCATGATTAGAAGCTACCAATAATTAGAGGGATTTTTTAATGTTTTTTATTACTCAAAATCCCCTTTAAAAATCACCTTTTGACCTTAGTCCTTCCTCAGCATATTTCTCAAAATAAATATAGTCTGTCTTTGCTGTGCTTCCTGAAAGCACTCCTTTGCATTGACAAGGAGAGGGAGACGCCTTCTGATCAGTGTCCTTGGGGACCTTAGTTATCTTAATGGAGCTTGCAAACTATGGGGCAATAAAGAAGCCCCACTCTCCATCTCTGTTAACTACTATGCTGTAGAATCAAGTGGAGCTTCAAGAAAACCCTAGCCCTTGGGATACCATAATAGATTCCTCCGAAAATGCTTATATACAACTCACCACATAGTGGAGAGCATAATTGTGCCCTTCAACAAACTTGTTGTTGGATTAAGAAACAGCATTACTTTGTAATGGATTGTATGGCTAATTATTTTGTTCAGAATAAATTTGATAGCAAAATAATTAAAGTTAGATTTTCATTCTTCAAGCACAAAGCAAAGATGAAATGAATTTTTAAATAATTAATCGAAATGTTTTCACTCCCTCAGACTGTCTGGGTCAGAGAGCACCAATATGACCCAAATTCTCAGGTCCAGGAAAATATAAGAACTGACAGGGATCATGGGCAGTAGCCACAGAAACAAAGAAAGGGGGTTCATTAACACATTTATGGGTGAAGAACTGTGGCATTGGGTAGGGGGCAGAATTTTCTAAGACCAAATAGCTTGATTGAGAAGTATGTGCTTGTATAATTTCTGAGACCTCCAAGTTTTCATTTCAGAAATCTAAACCTTAGTTTCATGAGAAAATAGAGCTAGAACTTGTACAGTATGTAAAACTAACAGGCTTTCCACTGCTTTATTATTTGTGATATAGGCAGTTTCTAGAAAGGAAACAAAAAAAAAAATCTCCAACTCACTCTTGGTTGGTAAGTAAAGATAAAATTTCCTTTTCAGCCCATTAATATTTTTTTTTCTCTTAATTAATCACTTTTCAATTCCGGTCTCAGAATCTTGACTTAGATAGTGGCTTTTTAGGTCAATCGATTTTAGTTCATTCATAAAAGCAAGCAGGCAAGATGAAAGACATTCACTAAATCTTTCAAAAGTCAGTGTCTGTATTCTGTATGTTTGGATCCCAAATGCAATCTCCTCTAAAATTCACATTGAAAAAATGCCATTCAGAGACTAGGTTGGCTTGAAAAAGAGTTTTTACAAAGGATAAGGATGTGTGCTTACCATTTTCTTGTTTCCAAGTAATTCTCCTCTTTCTCAGGAAGGAAAAAATGACAAATGGCAAGAACTATTACATATGTTCCAATATCATTCTTATTTGCCAGAGGACGGCAAAGCAATCCGTGCATCTGGAAACCAGACCACAAGATGACATATTAGATGTCCAAACATTTCTCTGGAAACGTAGGGACAAAGATGTAAGAGAAGTCAATCCATGAGTGCTCTAGTTATTCACGGCAATCTGAGCTGTGCATGGCAGCCCACCTTGGCTTGGATGTTCAAATGAACTTCCATTGGGGGAGAATGATCATACACATGGTAAATGGAGTTAATTCAGTAAAGCCAATATAAACACTGATGTTTTTGTCTTCTGACAGCATATGAATGTGCAAGCATTAAGTTATAGGAGAAAAGGGGCTAATTTTAGATTTGTTCCTAGCCCTCTCCATGTGAATGGTGTCGCTGTGAGCCCAGCAATGAAGTTCACTGTGTTGTAGCAGACTGCGCAGTTCCTGAGTGTGTCAACCCAGTCTATGAACCAGAACAATGTTGTCCTGTCTGCAAAAATGGTAAGACCACACTGCATTAGCTTTCAAAGAGGGGTTAGTGCAAAATATTTCACTACTGCACACCATTCAGTGCAAGAGCCCTCTAAGATCTGCCTGTGGCTTTTCAATATGGGCATAGCCAATTTATATTTTTCTAAAGCCTAGAAATGAAAATAAACCAGCAATGGGTTTTCATCTGGGGAATTAAAGCTCTTGTAAGCTGGCTTGGTTGTGATCCTATTGCTTATTGTTGATTTATAAGTAGGCTATTGGAAAGGACACAGTAGCATCTTTTTATAGTGATTGCATTTTTCTCTCTTGTGGGGCTTATGGAGCAGTTCCCCCAATATCATAGTGCACAGTACATCCCGGAAGAGAGAGCAGGGTGAATGTCAGGTATTTTGCTTTGGGCATAAATTAAGACATCAGGTTTAAATTCAAAATATCACAGAAATACAAAGTCAATTATCCATGTACTTAAATTTAAGTAAGACTCAATAGTTTAGGGATATTTTTTCTAGGTTTTGATTAGAGTAGAGCCTGGTTCCTATGAAAATTGTCATGGAGGAGGAGTTGATTTATTGATAAGGTTATGGATTCATTTATGTACCTCATGGGATGGAAAGGTTGAAACAGCTCTGATATCCTATTCACCCCAAGTCACATGCTGCTGCAGAGGAGACAGTGCAGTACAAGAAACCTGGGACAGCGAGATGGCATATCAACAAAGCCTAGAGCAAGCTCTTTCTAGTGACCATGTTCTATCAAAAAAAAAAAAAAAAAAAAAAAGAATAATACATCATTCAGCCACATTCCACAAATGCCGCTTTCCTTGGGGGAAAAAAATGGCTCCAGCCCTTAATTAAGCTGAGGTCACTTAATCTAATGCTGAATCCCTATACCCTTTCTTGAAGTAACAGTGGTCATCTTCCTCTATGATACATTATTTTGTTCTAAATTTGGAATTTTGTAAACTCATCTACTAATCTTTCCCTTTTTGGAAGGATAATTAGTGAAAAGTAGCATCAGGTTATTTAAAGACAAAACAAAAGTGCTCTCGTTGTTTTTATAATATATTTTGTGTTTTGGTACCTTCTCAAAGGACTTACAATGAGCCCTTCTTACATTTTTTACACACATGAATTTGACTGTCTCTGATCGCATACATCCATTATGTTAAAATATTAAAGTACTCACCTGACTTCTCTTTCTTCTTATCCAACTGACTTGTCAGGATGACCATCTCTCTGATTTAGAGGATTGAAATAAATATCTTCCTGTAGTTCTAATCCATCTGACACATGCAAAAATATCAAATTTAAGACTTTATATCTTTAAAAAGATTTTGAAGAAACTGGAAAAGCCATAGGAAAGAACAATAAGATGATTTAATGGTTGAAAAATAGGACCTATGAGGATTGGCTGAAGGAGTTAGCATAATTTGTCCTGGAGAAGGGAAAGCTCAGGGGAGACCTAACTGTCATAAAGTATATGAATGGTTAGTCTAAAGTAGAAGAGGACTTGTTATTTTTCATTTTCTCCAAGGATAAAAAGAAGAAAAACTCAGCTTCCTAATCAATCTTTAAAAATAGGATTGACAAGTCTTTGACTGAAGACTGTTCACTTTTTCTAGAAGCAACTGTCTAAAGAGATCCTTAAGGATCTTTTCTTCCCTAGGTGGCTCTGGTTAACTTTGTCTCACTTTTAAGGTAAACACAATTATAGTTAAAAACTTGTCTAAAATACCCAGTATGTTCATTGAATTACAGCATCTTCACCATGTATTTATAATACAATTTTTATACATGCCTCTAGTACATCATCCTAGCTACACTGTACCAAAGCCTGAAATATCTACAGTTATGTCAATTGCTAAATCAGACACTAAAAACTAGTCACATTTAATTTGATGCCATGCAAGATTAACCTGTTCCTATCGCATCAGAATAGAGTTTTGTTTTCAGATGAAAACTTTAGTACAAAAGTGGACAACAAATGAACTTTAACTAATCAATAAATTAGTTAACAAAGTAGTAATCTTGGTGTCCCTAATAAACAGATGTTGAATATACAAGGTACATTAGTTAAATTTTCTGCCTTTTTTTTTTTTTTTTTTTTTTTTGGTCCATAAAGCAGTATAAAACGGTTACTCCTGCTTCCTCTTGCTACTTTAAACAAACTTTCTCTTATTTTTTATAGGGGAAATGAAACTGGATTAAAATTAAAGCAAGACTAATTCTTTCTGTTAAATAACATTAAAAGATGTTATTTTTGCTTTACTATTAAATGCCACTAATTAGTCACTTGTGCCCCAAACGTGAAGTACAATCAAAATAAATGAACAGCATTTCAAAGACCACTGAAAACTCTTGTGACCAGGATTTTTCTTAAGGAAACAGACTAAGTCTCAATACTTGCTCTATTTCTAAGACTAGCTAATAAAACAAAAGCAGATGTCCCATATACAGAAGAGATAGAAGGATAATAAATGTTTATCATGATGAAGTATAACCAGGATCATTTCTTAAATTTCCAATACATTATAAGTTTATCTTACTACATATAAGATGATAAATTTTACCATGATAGTTTAAATTATTTTAAAAGTATTTTCTTAGTAAAAGGAAAGCAACAAGATAAAAATGTACCCTATGAATTCAAGTAGATGCAATGGATTTTAATTTGTATGTAGTCTTATTACAATTTCTTAAAACTTCATAAATATTGATGGTTTTGGATGGCAAATATTTTCCATTTGCATAAATACCGATTGTCTTGGCTGTCATATTCTTTTTATTTTTTATTTTTTGCATATCAAGATAGTATTTCCTGCCTTTCTAAATTAGAACTTGCCAAGAGCAAGAGGCATTAAAGATATAAACTATAAGTTTAAAGTAATAGAATCTATCTCACCTAAACTTAAACTCAATAGTTAACTAATACAAAAATGCTTTCTTTAAGATTGTGTAAGAGCAAACACAACAAGGAAGCCTAATAATATGTACATCATTTTCTCAGAAAATAGGAGTCACCCATTAAAATATAGCAATTATCTCCAGAAATAGGTATTTTTAATATCTGAACTGGGCCCATGGGTGTGGCTTACTAGTAGAGTGCTTACCTGGCATGCAAGAAGCCCTGAGTTTGATCTGCAGTACCCCCCACCAAAAAATATAGAACCTATAAGGTGATATACTCTCTAGATTAACAATGGTAAACTTACTTTATTTTTAGGATTACAAAAAAAAAATTAAAGGAATAGGCTTATAGAAATTTTCTCTAACTATTTGAAGATTAAAAAAAAGAAAATGTTAAATTTCCCAGTCTCAATGATTACCTCAAACAGGATTTCCAAAGGTTATTTATGAATATAGTCAAACCATAAAATATATGCCATTCTTATTGAAGTTAGTTCAACAAGAAGAAAGACTATCAATTTAATTTGAATAAAATAAATTAAAATATTAAGAAAAGATGTGAGAAAAACAGGGGTAATCTTTCATTTGGGAAAGATTGAGGGAATTAGCATAGAAATTGATCGTTTTCTACAATATTATTAAACTTTTACTTCTCGTTCCTCTACACGTCTGCAAGAGCTGGCAATCCAAATGCCTTCCTGAAAAAATCTGACATTTCCAGATTGTTTTTCTTTCCCTAAGATTGTATTATTTTGACCTAAGTTTCAGCCTCAGGCCTTTCATGTGAATTAACGAGAACTCTTTACAGCTTTTGTCTTCATAATACGAAAAAAAAAAAAAAATCAGCACAGTATCTGCTTAAAGAAAGTATTCTAGTTCACAATGTCATATAAGTACTTAAGCATTTGAAAATTGATCATACATTTGAATAGTAATATATGTGTGTATGTACATATGTATTTATACATACATATTTAGCCAAGAATGCATATTAATTTTTAAATGTGAACTGATATTAATTCAACTTCTAGCTCTGTAGCCATTCATTTCATTTTTAATTGTCTACATATGCTAATATTTTTGTTCCTAGTCATTAAAAATTCATGGTCATAGACTGCCAAATATCTGAATTAAAAAAATAAAGTACACGGCCAGTTATTGAAATAATTGATCATTAGACCATCCAAATAACTAACTGCGTTTTTTTTATATCACATCAGTTTGTATGTCAGTGAGTTTTATATTTTCAGTGACTATATTTTGGTATATAGTCAGTCATTATTCAGCGTTCTGAAGGAAAAGTTACTTCATGAAAAAATGGAAGAGACAGGATGCTCTGCCATAATCCTCTATACACATTAAGTGAAGCGTATCCATCTCCCTTCTAACTAAACTCAACATGACATGAGCTCTGTCCAAATATTTAATTTCATGTCCCTTACTCTCTTCTAGTTTAGTGGTGATACAAATAAGGCAGCAAGTATACTAGCTAAGAAGGTAAATACAAAGGAAGAGGTCAATAAAGGGTACAGACCATGCACAAAACGAAAAGGACTTTATAGATATCCAATTCTTTCTCAAGGTACTGGGAAGACATGTTTGCTGTATACAATTGTTAATATCTCTAAAATTTAATGAGCTCCTCAAAAGAAAAAAGAAAAACAATTCCATATGGTAGGAAATGAGCAAAGAATATATAAAGGAAATTCACTGAAGAAAACTAAAATGTCTAATAAATTAGGGAAAATATGCTTAACAAAAAGGGATAGAAATTAGAACAATGAAATACCAATTTTATATTGATATTATGAAGTTGAGACAACTTTTAATAAGGCACTTTCTTTTTTTTATTAGTTGCGCATCACAATACAATGATCTTGACATATCATACATTTGAATCAAATGGGGTATAATTTCTCATTTTTCCAAATATAAAGGTTGCAGAATCACCTTGGTTATACAGACACGTATCAGAATTTTCATTTCACTTAAACTCAGCAATTTTACCTCTTGTAGTTTGTCCCACATTCAGCTATACAATTTTCTCTGCATTTTAAGAGTGAAAGTTTGGGAGAAAACCTAACAACAGTCCTTCAATGAGAT